AACTAATGATCCCAATCATTCTTATCTGTTACATAATAACATGTAATCTATAATCAATGTCTTTTTAAGGTTTTTATGCCCCCGCCATATAATGGCAGGGGCATATAGTGTTACCCTGTTCCGTCATTCCGTCATTCCGTCATCATCAGTTTCCGTTCATTATCTTAATAACCGTTGCACATATTGAACTCAAATTTGACATATAGATATGTCATGAGAAAATACAGGTCAAGTTCGAAATTGGTCATTGTTCGATGATTTTTGGCAGAGTTATGCCCCTTTAACTTTGAAAATAATATGAAATTTTCAGTTTCCGTTCATTATCTCCCCAACGGTACAACACATTCAAACTCAAACTTGACATATGGATATGTCATGAGAAAATACAGGTCAAGTTCGAATTTGGTCATGGTTCGATGATTTTGGGCAGAGTTATGCCCCTTTCACTTTAAAAATAATATGAAATTTTCAGTTTCAGTTCATTATCTCCCCAACGGTACAACACATTCAACTCAAACTTGACTTATGGATATGTTTTTGGAATGCGCAGGCCAAGTTCGAATTCGATCATGGTTCAATGATTTTTGGCAGAGTAATGTCCCTTTCACTTTGAAAATGATATGAAATTTACAGTTTCTGTTCATTATCAACCCAACAGTGTTACATATTAAACTTAAAAGGACATATGGAAATGTTTTTGGAATGCGCAGGTCAAGTTGGAATTAGGCCAACTGTCGATGATTTTTTGGCCGAGTTATGTCCCTTTCACTTTGAAAATAATAAAGATACATCTTAGGAATAAGCAGTCTTAGGAATAAGCAGTTTAAGTTTGGATTTGGTCAAACTTATCTTTCCTGAATGTTGGAAAAATTTTGAACTTTCAGTTTCAGAACTCGTACTTTTGTGGAAATGTATATAGCCATTATTTTGGCTACAAAGATGCAATTTGCTATTTTCAAAAGGTTAAGACTGAATAATTTCAGTGCCTTGAACATTGTATAAAAATGGTTTGTGTTAACATTGAAAAGTTTTAAGGGCTTTGAACTTAGAATGAAAAAAATAATTTTTGCAAACAAATTTGGAACTAAATATTATAACATTTGAAATTTTGGCATGATGACACATTTCTAGTTTTATAATTGACGAAGCAATATATATATTTACATAAATATACGTATATGTATATGTAGGCTTATAGCTGAGAATTCAGTGATGATTCATATATGCTAACAATAAATTATAATTTTCCCAGGGAAATCATCAGTTGAGCGAATCGTTATATTACCGATAAACAAGAACCTTCCATCTCCCGGCTCTCATGGCCATTCAAGTAATATTTCATTTTTCTATTTCAGAGTTTCATAAGCTGTGATAGAGGATTTGTGATATGAGAGGATCATCGGAACTACAAAAAACAACTCAAGCCTAGCTGAGTGAAATGTTAACTTACGTTGACTTTTTTAACCAAACTTGATAGTATGAACCATACTTGATTAAACTAAAAGATAGTTTTAGTAAAGCCTAAATCAGGGAGGAATTATTGTTTGGCAAAATTGACCTGAGACATTTGAATATTCAATGACCTTTTGTCGGTAATTGTCAGTCTCGGAAGTAAACCACGCAGGCTGATTTTGTATCCTTGTTTGGACTAGCATGTAAACTCAGATTTCAACATTTTTGGTAAAAATATCTCATTTCTGAGAAAAAGCTAGGCTTCCACCTTCATGATGCTAGATTTTTTTTTTGACTTGCATGCAGTTAAAGGTGACAACATCTGATGAGGGTAAATGAATACCCCCTATGTAGAATCGATCAACAGTTGCAAAGGATTAAACTCTTATAAGCTATTCATGATGAGTTTACCAAGCAGACCTCCGTTGGAATCTAAAGATTCAAGTTTTGATGATCCGCTGACAATTAATCCTTTTAAAGTTTTAGTGGACAACATGTGTGAGAATTTGGACAAAGAGCTCTATAAAAAGTTTTTGTTTAAATCAAAAGAGCATTTACATGATGACTATAATGCTCTAGAGAAAAATGGAGAGAGATATGAGTACAGGCAATATTTTAGTAAACTGGAGAATAATCTTGGTGAAAATGGGGCAGTTGATCATATTGAGCATCTTGTAAGACACACCATCTTCCATGGTGGAAGTGGTAAGTATTAGTGATATAAGAAATTCCTTTCAAAGGCAGTAAGGATAAAAAATACATAAAACTGAATCAGATCTACAGGTGTACTTGAAGTTGAATTTAATCAACAAGTGCAATATTATATTATAAATAAATACTTCTACTAAATTGATGGGGCGTCCGTGGCCAAGTGGTTAAGGTCCTTGACTTCAAACCACTTGCCCCTCACCGCTGTGGGTTTGATTCCAAACAGTGACTTTGGCTATCCAGCAAGCTGAAGGAACCTCGGTGGTTCTACTCAAGTGCCTAGTCGTGCCTGAAAGAATAATGCACGTATGGTCACCTGAGGTCCTCCTCTACCAGTAAAGCTGGAACGTTTTCAAATGACCTTTATTGTGTTAATGTGACGTTAAACCCAATCAAACAAGCTAAATTGATCATAATTTTACTTTTGATTTATGTTTAACATGATTTTAATTGTGTAAAAAACACCATAAACAAGGACTTTTGGAGGGCACTGTATATTAATTGTAGAAATTGTAATGATTACAAATAAAGAGACAATTACAGTACAATTGTATTAATTTTCATAATGAATTCAAACATATTTAATTACTTTCAATCAATTTCTAGCATAAAGATATGAATAATTCATGCCTGCTCCAAAACCAAACATACAATAATGCAATTTTGAGTTTTCATTCACACTTTGATTCAATTTCACTCCATTACTCTACACTCCCTAGCAAAAGTTATTGGAATGTCAGTAAAATATGATTTTAATGAAATCGGCTACATGTATGTGCAAATTCTGGGCCATGGACCTTCTGTGAAGAGCATAATTATTTTGTGCCAATGAAAACTCTTTATTATACCCCCCAAAACAAATTTTAGTGGAGTACTGTATAACGGGTTAATTTTGTGACGTGGAAATATTTGCGATATTTGCAAATTGGAAATTATTCGCAAATATTTAATGACACAAAAATCATTTCTTTTTAATTTTAGGCAAACTTTCTTCTATCATATGAAAACACGTTTTCATACAGCATCTTACATAAATAAGTTTGACAAACATTTCTCATTGCCTGTTTGTTTAAGTTTGCACAAATGATTAAATGAAACAATACATGTCTTAATAACACAATATGTTATTCATATATCGAAAGAATATTTCAAAATATGGCAAAGAAATGTTTGATCAGGGCCTTTATCAAACTTACAATTATGTATAGTTCCAACAATTATATAGATAATAAAGATATTAAACAACTGAATAGAAAAATTGCAATCAATGCATATTTTTAGCATGTTCCTGCTTAGTTAATGAAATCACGAAAACAGTATTAAATACAAGAAATCATATTTTCACAAATACATGTATTTCCACACTCAAACAGTCCACATTTTGACATTTGCAAAATTTTTGTAGCACAGAAATATCCACTTATACAGTATATAGGAGTTAGCTTGTCCGTTGGTCGTCAGTCAGGGCGTTGTTATGAGTTATGAGACATGAAACAGACATTTTGTTCATGCAGGTGTAAATGGTGGATGTACAGATTGAAGTCAAAATACAGTGTCTATTCTAGGTGGAGGGATGGGGGATTCACCCATATTTTTGAGAACTCCCCCCCCCCTATTTTTTCAGAGGCAGGGGGGGGAATTTTATATAGAGAAAGAAGGAAAATGATTGACAATGTAATAAACTCTCACTTTTCGATTAAAATCCCCCTGTTTTTCGAATCCTAGAATAGACACTGAAATAACTTTAGATTTTGCCATCATTGCATTCAATGTTAAAAGTTAAGGACATGTGTGTAATCAGAAACCAGTGTGAACGGGACTTCGCATAAATATACATCTGAATGGATTGTTAACATTCAATTGACAACAGGAGTGGGACAGTCCTTTAATACATGTACTTTAGGCAGTTGTTACATTTTATACACCACAGGCTCACATAATATGATTTTATACAACTTGTTTAATAAATTTAGTATTAAACCTTTACTCATTTAATATTCTCTATATCAATCTTTTTAAATATATTACCAATTCTGCTCAAAGTCGACAACAAAACATGAGCATGATGTCACTGTTAGGTTTTGAAGAAAGGGGTTTGTATGAGGGAACTGAGAAATGTTTGAATATTTTGTTAGACATAGTGAAATTATGTTTTTGACAGGCTTTTTTTTATGTTTATGAGAGGCTTATATTGTGCAATTATTGTAAATATTCCAATAACCATAAAAATTCTTTACCCATTACCTTCTATAATAAGAACACTTCCAAACTTAACAGATTGCCATGTAATATTTTTGTATTAAAGGTGTTACACATGTAGTCTTTGTTTAATGAGGGTCCATCCAACTGTTAACGCACAAAAAGCCGCTTTTGCTGCTGATTATGGATCCTTGACATGTCATCAGTCATGCCCTCAAAGACTTAATTTTCAACCACATAGTGGTGATGATTTACCTCCATGCAATTATCATGTCGTATTAGGCAAAGGTATGAGTTTTGAGCCCAAAGTAGGTCACTGTATGACGGTCAATGAGAATCAAAATGTACAGTAACCTGAAACAATAATGATAGGAAGTAGCCCTTTAAAAGGCTGTTAATGCCAAGCAAAAGGCCGACTTTACATACCGTCTATCTGTGCCAATGGCCTAGCACCCTAGCACACCATCCACATTGTCTCAGCCAACATTGTAGAGCCACCAACCTTGGCTTAAGTCAAGACATCAGCAGCTGGTCCCAAGTTGAAGACCAAGTCGCAGTCCTGTAAAACAAGAAGGGTAATAAATGTTTACTATCCGCAAAAGCCGTAAATCTTCTGCTGATGCCCTGCACCATCTCAGCGAAGTGCACTCACTCAGGGGAAGTGAAAAGAAGGTGTTACACTGTGTGGTGTCAGTGACTTATACCAATTTTATTATTATATTAAAGGTGTTACACTGTGTGGTATAAGTGGAATGGGGAAGACCAGTTTGGCTGCCCAGGTGTGTGCCCGACTTGCATGCAGTAAACCAAAATGGAGGATCATCATCCTCAATCAAAGGTAATAAATTTTAAGTGTAATTTCTTACTATTAAATGTAATGATAGATTCATGATTATATTAAAGCTGCACACCTCCAGATGAACCAATATATTTCAAGAAAATCAAACTTAAGAAAAAAAGTACTCAGATGTTAAGAAAAGAAAAATGATTCAAGATAAAAGTAATAATTTCTTTGTTATATGCGATTTATGATAATACATATATATAGCAATGTTTTTATTCAGTGCATGATTTCTGCTGTTTAATAAAATGACAAATGATTGAATACATTTTTTTGCCAGAAACTGTCCAGGAATAAATTGTTTCCAAATGTTTGAAAGCTTAGGACACTTCTGTACGAAATGGTACTCATCTTCCCTCTCAGTATAACATAATTTACACTTTCTTAATTGTTTCTCTACTCAACTAATTTTTTCACAATTTTGGAGGCATAGAACAGAATGGTGTTTCAAAAAGAGCTTTAAAAATTAGATAAACGAAATGTGGTTTACATTAAAAATGCTACATGCATTGCATAATAGATCTATTATTCAAGAAATTAAAAGAGCAATAGAAACTGTTTGAAATTTAAACATATTTTATTAAAGAGAAAAATCAGAACTCAACGACTTGTTGTTGGACATGATATCAGAATTGAGTGCAGAATTAGATGGGAATGAGTACATGCAGCTACTATCAGAAACAAACACCAACCATCTAAAGATCAGGTGTAACAAACTGATAGATGAGGTTCTTGAAAAACAACTAAGTAAGTAGCTGTGTTGTTGAATTTTTATGCTCTCTAAAGGGTGTGCATATAGTCGCCGCTTTGTCCGTCCTTCCGGCCGTCTATCTGTCCGCACTACTGAAGAGGGAAAGGGGGCCATGTAACTGTAAAGAGGACAAAAGAGTTTATTCCGTAACAATAGAATAAGGGCCATGCGCCCTCTATTAAACAAACGAAAGTGATTCTCCTTTTTTGGATATGGTAAAAACTTTAAAATCTTCTGTTAAAAAAACAATACTTAGAGCTTAGATATAAAGCATGAAACATCTTGTAGTGGGTGTCTACCAAGTTTGTTCAAATAAAAGGCCCCAGGGGCCTATATACAGGTAAGTGATTTCAGGGCCATCATGGCTCCCTTGTTACACTTTGAACTTTGTCCGGGACATAACTCTAAAACTACAAGAGATATCAACATGAAACTATTGTAGGAAGAGAAATCTCATTGGGTGGAAGTGCAGTGCTATAGAACCAAAACTCTGCCTTGCCTAATTTTAGAGTTATTGCCCTTTGTTCATATTTACACTTTGAACTTTGTCCGGGACATAACTCTAAAACTACAAAAGATATCAACATTAAACTATAGTGGGAAGAGAAATCTCATTGGGTGGAAGTGCAGTGCTAAAGAACCCTTATTCTGCCTTGCCTAATTTTAGAGTTATTGCATTTTGTTCATATTTACAATTTGAACTCTGTCCGGGACATAACTCTAAAACTATATGAGATATCATCATAAAACCTTTGTAGGAAGATAGAGCTCATTGGTTGGAAGTGCAGTGCACTGCCTTGGCTTATTTTGGAGTTATTGCTCTTTGTTCATGTTAACACTTTGTTCTGGACATAACTCTAAAAGTATAAAAGATATCAACATGAAACTTTTAGAGTTATTGCCCTTTGTTCATTTTTACACTTTGAACTTTGTCCAGGATATAACTCTTAAACTATAAGAGATATGAACATGAAACTTTATAGGTAGAAAGATCTCATTAAATAGAAGTGCAGTGCAAAAGAGCCATAACTCTACCTTGCCTAACTTCAAGATGTATACTTTTCTGTGTCAAAAACCTACTCAGGAAGCATCACCCAATCCAACGGGTTCTTGTTTATTCTAGGTCTTCTGCTTTTATCAGGAATATGTCCCCAGTGCCTAAAGTTTTATTTATGTTACTTTTTTTTCAAACTTAGGATGCAATTATGAACTAAACAGTTTAATTGCTAGTAAATCTTGAAGGTTGCCATATAACAATTAAAGTGTCTGTTTGACAAAGAACCGAACATTAAGAAGTAACGATAAACATTATCATTATATTGATAATTTAAACAAGATCACCGCTAGGCGGAGCATTACATGCCCAAAATTAATTTTTTTTGTTAGAAAGGATGAAACATTTGTAAGACATGGGAATTAAATACAGTATCACCTCCTTCAAAATGGAACTTAAGTTATACTCCGGAAACGGAATTGCTATCGGTTGGACAGACGGATGGACACCAGGGGGTAAAACATAATACGCTGAAATTCTTTCAGGCATTTAAAAATTGATCATGGACTGATACTCAAATGACTGACATCCATTCAGGAAATTCATCATTTTAATGGGAAATGATGAAGATTACAAGTCATTATTGAAACCAAGTATCATAATGCTGTTACATAAACATTTATAAAAATCTATTGTTTATTGTTAGATATACTACTTCTGCTGGACAATGTTGATGGACATTGTGATGGAGAAGATAGACAACATGATTTTTCTAAGTTTATGAAGGAACTCCTAAACAACATTCCTCTAAAAAGTAGCGTAAGTCTATAGATTGAAATTGTGATCCCATCCCTGATCCCAGCCTTTAAAACCAGTTATATTCCAATTTTGTAAATCTAAACCTATGTACTTCTGAAACATATTCACTTGTTCATACAAATCTGTAATAGTGTGTATGGTTAGAGTATAGGCTGATATGGTTTATACAGAATTAGTTTTAGTTGGATTGTGTAGGAAGCTATAAGCTTATAGACACACTTTCAAATCTGTTCCTGGAACCAACCAGTACTGAGCAATGAGTGTAAAGTTTCTTGCCAAAGGAAACAACGACTTGCCCTGTCAGGGTTTGAACCCATGCCGCTCTCGATCATGATAATACTAGTCTAACGCGTTAACCACTCGGCCATGCTGCCACTCTAATATCACTTAAAATTTATTTGGTTTTAAAGGCACATGGTCTCTTGAGTCACTAGGATTGATCCGCATTCCAAATGTCATTGTGTAAGTCCAATGTAATACAATAAAAGCCCCACATTAACATATACAAATAGTATCTCTATATGATTGTAATAAAGTTTTCATAGATTAGATACAAAAAAATAAAGTTATCCTTTTGGTATTTTGTGAAAGCTTAATGGCACTTATTGCATGGTGTTACCAATACTTTGATTAAATGCATACATGAAATATAAAGTAGCATGGCCAATATTTCTTCTGCATACCCTATTTTACATTGCATCAAATGTTAGTATATAAATAATACATGGGTTTGTGAGTAACAGTAAAAATATCATTCGAAAAATATTACTGTTACACAAGACGTTAGCATACGAGCTGAAGGCTCAGGGTGATCTATTATTATCAAAGGGGGATACTCCGGCGTCCGTCGTCATGCGTCAACAATAGTTTTCTTCTCTAAAACTGCTGTGACAGTCAACACTTGAATTTGCTCATGCCATTTCAATTCGCTCCTTTTAGGAGTCAACAGAGCTAAAAATAGAAAAAACTTAAAACATCTTCTACTACAGACATAATGGATGGATGATCACCAAACTTTATCTTTAGCATCCTTGGGTAGTCTTTTATCAATGTTGCTCATATTAATTTGATTGGCCCCTTTTAGGGGTCTCTAGGGGTAAAAATAGAAAAAAACTTTTAGACATCTTCTTCAACAGAACAAATGTATGGATGATCACCAAACTTTGTCTGTATCATTCTTGTGTAGTCTTTTATCAAATTTGCTCGAATTAACTTGATTGGCCCCTTTCAGGGGCCGCTCAAGCTAAAAATAGAATGACCTTTAAGCATCCATATCTAGAGAACTAATTGATGGATGATCACCAAACTTTATCTGTAGCCTTCTTGGGTAGTCTTTTATCAAATTTGCATATATTAATTTGATTGGCCTCTTAAAGGGGTCCCTAGGGCTAAAAATAGAAAAACTCGTAAACGTCTTCTTCTACAGAACTTATTGATGGATGATCACCAAACATTGTCTGTAGCACTCTTGGGTAGTCTTATATCAAGTTTGCTCATATTAATGTGATTGGCCCCTTTTAGGGGCCGCTAAAGCTAAAAATAGAAATACCTTTTAATGTCTATTTCTACAGAACTAATTGATGGATGATCACCAAACTTTGTCTGTAGCATTCTTAGGCATGCTTTTATCAAATTTTCTCATATTAATTTGATTGGCCACTTTTAAGGGCCACTAAAGCCAAAAGAAGAAAAACCTTAGAACATCATTTCCTACTGAAATAATTGATAGATGATCACCAAACTTTGTTGCATTATTAAGTAGTCTTTTATCAAGTTTGCTCATATTTATTTGATTGGCTCAAAGTTAATATCAGAAAATATTGACACTGGATAATTTTCAACACTGAAAAGCAGTTGTTTCTGATGAGCGTCTCAGGGCCATCATGGCCCTCTTGTTTATTTTATTACCCCAAACAAAAACTGTAAACATTTGAAAATTTCAGATAAGTCTAACTATAACAAGATTGAACCAAGAGTAACAATAACTCAGCTATTCTTACCTTGCATCAGTTGAGAAAAAAAAACAACACGTGATCAGATTTTTAAACTGTTAAAAAGTTACCTTTTCACAATACAAATTTTTAGTTATGTAGTACAACTGGTTTTCCTTCAGTCTTTCATATATTGTACATACTTTTGGGGGAGGGGTGTCCTCCATTCTCCACGTTCGTTTGCAGGAAGTGGCCAGTCACTGGAGTCAAGGTCACTGGTGCTTAAAACAAAGATTTTTGCACTTGCATGTATAGCCATTATTTATTGACAGATGTCTTCAAATATTTTGACAAGTGTGCAGACCTCATAGCAATAAGTCTTGTTTTTTATACAGGTGAAGTTTCTAATGACAGTAGGCAGAAAACTGTCCACCACCCGTCTGTCAAATGAGAGGAATTTTATCTTTAATGGACAAATGTTGGAACAAGAACTGAAACCGTTTACTGAGTTTGAAACTTCCCGAGCACTACGTAGAATTTCTGAAAAATCTGAAAAGGTAAAAAACATAAATTTATATTTTTTCTAACTTTAATCTACATTGTTGAGTTAATTTATATGGACATATGTTTAGTAATAGAAAGAGCATCGAAACACAAGGCTATCTGATTTGTACAAGGGGGCGTAGCCCCCGAGTATTAATCAGATTGCCGTGTGTTTCGATGTTCTTTCTCTTTTGTATCAAAGTCAAACATTAAAACACTTTCCCTGTTGTCACAATATGAAACCCCAGAAAAAAGGAACCAATGAAAGAGCATCTGAATATGATATTTCTGTAGCTTTCCTTTTCTCTTCCTGCATAATTAGTAAAACCAAACCAATGGGCATGCTCTTGAGTGCGGGTAAATAATATCTGCACTCCAGTTAATGCACTGTGCATGTATATGTATACGATATAACTCTGACACATTTTCAACAGAAAGGTCCCCAAACTATTATAGAATTATTATAATAACTTTTAACATAAAAATAAATGTATATACAATATACTCAAATATGTTGACACTGTAATGTTCTTTTATGGGCAGTAAATGTGGAAATAAGCTCAGTTGTTTGTTGATTTTCGTCTTAAAAATTTTTGAGGTTAATTCATAATTAATTTACCTGCAAATTTACATATTTATGTTTATATATATAATTTTTACAAAAAGTTAGATTAGATTTACTTCACTGACATTTTATCATTTTCAGCTATATTGTTTTATTTCTGATAACAAAAAACTTTGATGAAATAAGATGTTAAGTGTTACCAAGATATTTGACTTAATGATATTTTTATATCCCCGCACAACAAAGTTGTAAAGGGGGTTTACTCGAATTAGCTTGTCCGGACGTCTCCCTGTCAAGCTGTTTTTCCTTGTCCGCCCAATAACTTAAGATTCCTATGACCCATAGTCTTCATATTTGGCATGGAGGTTAGTATTAGATGACCCCCTTTTGCTTTTGAGATCACTGAGTCAAATGTCAAGACCACAGTGGCCTTTAGTTCAAAAAAGTTGTCTGCCCAATAACTTAAGAATATTTTGACCCACAGTCTTCATGTTTGGTATTGAGGTTATTTATGGCTTGAAAATGACCCCTTTGAATTTTTAGGTGACTGTGTGAAAGGTCAAGGTCACAGGGGCTTTTATTACAAAAAAGGTGGTCTGGTCAAATGCTTCAGAATGCCTGTCAACAGTGTATTGATTTTAACATTTTGAAGCATTTAATTATGTTTTCATATATTATAAAACACCCACAGACAAAGCTGCATGTATTGGGGGTGGGGTTTCAAGTCATACAGTGGCAGTTTCAGTTTTGAGGTCAGTAGGTCAAATGTTATCTTTGCCACTAAAAACATGTTGAATACATAACTTAGCAATGCACTGGCTTACTGCCCTCAGATTAGCACGGAGGTTGTCCTTGAGCTCTAAATGACCACTGTTGATTCTGACAAAGTGGTATGTGGGCGTATTCATGCTAAGGCAGTGGCAGTTTTAGTTTATAATTATGTATTTTTAGCTCGACTATGCGATAAGAATAAGTAGAGTTATTGTAGTCACCCGAGCATCGGCGTTGGTGTCCGCGTCTGCATAACCACTTATGTTAAAGTTTTTGTAATACCTCAAATTTTTTCAAAGTCCATTGACATATGGCTTTGAAACTTGGCACATTTGTTCACCATCATGACCCCAACCTGTAGACAGGAGGAGGTAACTCTATCAAGCATTTTGACAGAATTATGCCCCTTTTTTTACTTAGAATTTACGTTAAAGTTTTTGTAATACCTCAAATATTTTCAAAGTCCATTGACATATGGCTTTGAAACTTGGCACACTTGTTCACCATCATGACCCCTACCTGTAGACAGGAGGAGGTAACTGTATCAAGCATTTTGACAGAATTATGCCCCTTTTTCGACTTAGAATTTACCTTAAAGCGTTTGTAATACCTCAAATATTTTCAATGTCCATTGACATATGTCTTTGAAACATGATGACATTTTCTACTCTTTGAGATTATTTCAAAGGCCTATAACTGTAACATGGATTTAGAGAGAAAAAAAATTGCCCTTTTGTAAACTTAGCAAATTTTACATTATCAAGGCTTTCTTACTAACAAGCACTAAGAATAGTCGAGCGTTGCTGTTCTACCGACAGCTCTTGTTGTGAAACCGTGAAATTTGTTCTATAACAGGAGCTGTCAGACAGGGTGTGCAGTGATATACATGCATTATGTGGGGGTATTCCATTTTCTGTAAGAGTGGTCGGAGATTTGTTAAAAAATGGCTTCACGCCAGAAAAACTTCTCTCTGGACTTCAGCGCCAGCCACAATCAGTCCCAATGGATGTGTTCCTGCAAAAGTCTTTTCAGATGCTGGAATCAACGCCCTCAATATATGAATTGAAAGGTCTTCTTGTCAGATTTTCAGTTTTCCAAACTGCAAGGTTCAATATAAATGCTGCAGTTGCAGTAGGCTTCAATACATCAAGAGACGAAGAATTTCGAAGACCTTTAAGTCTCTCGTCATTAAGTGGAAGGACAATTACAGATGAAACAGTGAAAAATGAAATGGAACTGAAATTACAGCAGTTGAAGTGTCATTTTTTACTAGAAGTTGATGATGCCCAATCTTCACTAGGAAGAAAAAGAGCATTCGGTGAAAAGTTATTCTCTTTGCATCCATTGGTTGCTAACTACATAATGTCACTTTGTAAAGAAGATGAAAACCTCAGGATGGAAAGAGAATCAGCAAGATCACAGTTTTTACAGTATTATGGCTCTTTCATAGAGTCATTAGGTAAACGTTGCGATAGTGACCTTCTCATATCAAGAAACATGATGGAGGCAAGTATGATACATATTAAGCAATTTTTCACGATTATTCGTGAAGAGAAATTTTTGTTAACCCAGTATTTACCACAGAAAGATCCAAACAAACATAAAAGATCTGCTAAAGTTGCTGTTCAGAGAAGGCACATTTGGAAAATTGCTGAATGGGCGATTTCATCATCTGAAAGGACATTGTTTGCAAGAAGACAAGCTGAACTTGAGCATGATAGAAAAAAATTGTTCAGCTATATATACTGGAAATCACTGGAAGCAGAAAGTCTGTTAATACAGGATCGGATTCAACTGACTCTTCAACTATTGAAAAGTGTAACCTCTGAGCTAAAAATCGTCAGAGATGACACTGTATGCTCAAAAGTGGATGGATGGGTTATAGTCCCAGATGAAGAAATGATTACCTGGGCAACATTTTATACGGTAAAGGGAAGACTTTACTTTAAGAAAAGTAGACACAATAACGAGAAAGTCTTGCAGGAACGAGCAATGAATATATTAACACTGGCAGAAAATCTTTTGGAAGGAAAAGATAAATCATGCAAAGGTGAGGATCTCAAAAAATACTTTAAAATTGATCTTGCAGAAGTCAAAAATTTGAAAGGTTGTGTATATTTCTTGATGAAGGATTACAACAAATCACGAAATTGTCATGAAACTGCATATAATCTTGTATTGAAGTTAACTGGGAACCAGCTTCATAAAAATCTAACCGAGTACCGTAGCAATGTAGCTTCCTGTTACTATCAGTCAGCATTGGATGCTAACGATCAAATGAAGAGGGATGAACTGTTCCAGAAGGCTTTAAAATATTATGCTATGTCAGGTGAATATATACTTTAAAATCATTTTTGTGTCACCTTTTCAAGGTGACATATAGGGTTGCCGGCGGTGTCCCCTTAAGCTTGTCCGGAGCACAACTCAGTCACTTTAAGTTGGATTGACTCTTAACTTAATGTGCATGTTTCTGTCAATGTCCCAAAGTGCAGTGCACAAGAATCGTTACTCTGTACTTCTTAATTTTTGAGTAATTGCCCTTTGTTAATTTTCATACTTTATTTTGCCAAGGCCATTTCTCCTTAACTATGAAAGCTATTATGGACTTGAAACTTCATAGAATAATATATTCATTTAGAGGAAGTGCAGTGCGCAAAAACCAGTACTCTGCACTCCTTATGTTTTGAGTTATTGCCCTTTGTTGTCATACTAAATTTTTGTCCGCGCCATTTCTCCTAAACTTTAAAAGCCATGGACTTGAAACTCTATAGGATGAAAGATCTGCTTAATAAAAAGTGCGCAGTGCACAAGAACCAGTACTCTGCACTTCTTAATTTTTTTAGTTATTACCCTTTGTTTTTTTATACTTCATTTTGTCCAGGTCATTTCTCCTTATCTATGAAAGCTATTATGGACTTGAAACTTCATAGGATAATAGATTGCATTCAGAGGAAGTGCAGAGCACAAAAACCAGTACTCTGTACTCCTTATGTTTTGAGTTATTACCCTTTGTTGTTATACTTAATTTTTGTGCTGGCCATTTCTCCGATACTATAAAAGCTATGAACGTCTTATCTGTGATATGCAGGCTTCATAACCTCTGATCCCCTTTCAAAATTCCATTTTAATTAGTTCCACCCATTGTTTTCTCGTTTAGGGCACACGCGTTTTATTACTTGGGGACCATACGCCGCTTTTCATGGAATGGCACGGAAGTGTCACATTGAAGGTTCCATGACAACCGCCGTATGAACACATCTGCGGATGTTTCTAAATTCAAAATTTTACTATGTCATGTTTAAATGTTGAATTCTGCTTAAGCCGGTGCTAGGGAAAGTGGACGGTAACTTGCACTTTCCAGTACCGTCCATGAACAGGCTCAATCAAACCGAGCCTGCAACATTTTCAATTTTGTCGTGTTGGACTTTCTTAAGGGATTCTGTATTTATCTATTTCATGGGAAGATAGATTTCATTGAGGTACAGTGCAATGTTTAAAAACCGGGACACAGTACTTGAAGATTTTTTAGTAATTGTTTTTTGTTAATTTTCTTACTTTATTATACCCCCACCACAAAATGTGGGGGGGGGGGGGCTATAATGGATTCGCTTTGTCGCGTCGGTCCGTCGGTCATCCGTCTCAATTTTCGTGTCCGCTCTATAACTCATATACCAATTGAAGGATTTTCTTCAAACTTGGCTCAAATGTTCACCTCAACAAGGGGATGTGCAGAACCTATGATGCCCATGTGTCAGCTCAAGGTCAAGGTTACAATTGAAGGTCAAATATTAAACAATCAAATATTACACAATATGTCGTGTCCGCTCTGTAAGTCCTACACTCATGGAAGGGTTTTCTTCAAACTTGGCTCAAATGTTCACCTCAACAAGGGGATGTGCAGAACCCATGTTGCCCATGTGTTCGCTCAAGGTCAAGGTCACAATTGAAGGTCAAATATCAAACAATCAAATATTACACAATATGTTGTGTCCTCTCTGTAAGTCCTACACTAATTGAAGGATTTCTTCAAACTTGGCTCAAATGTTCACCTCAACAAGGGAATGTGCAAAACCCATGTCACCCTTTTGCCGGCTTAAGGTCAAGGTTACACTTGAAGGTCAAAAATTGACTTAGAAAATATTCTTAAATTTTAACATTTATATGAAGATTTCTGAATCTTGAAAAGGTATTTGCTTGAAACTTAAAATATATATGAAAGGTCACAATTAAGATATGCTGGTCAAGTTTCCTAACTCTGTATTGCATTTTAACAAAGTTATGCCCCTTTTTCGAATCTTCAAATTGACATACAATCAAATATTAGGCAATATGTTGTTTCTGCTCTATAAATCCTACACTAAACGAAGTATTTTCTTCAAACTTTACTCAAATGTTCACCTCAACAAGGTTATGTGCAGAATCCATGTCACCTTTGTGTCGGGTAAAGGTCAAGGTCACACTTGAAGGTCAAAAATTGACTTAGAAAATGTTATTTAATTTTAACATGTACGTGAATATTTCTGAAACTAGCACAGGTATTTGCTTGAAACTTAAAAGATATGTGAGGTGTCACAATTGCGATATGCAGGTCGAGTTTCATAACTCTGTATTGCATTTTGACAAAGTTATGCCCCTTTTTAAGTCTTTAAATTTACATACAATTAATATTAGACAATATTTTGTCCCGCTCTATAAATTCTTTACAAATTGAAGGATTTTCTTCAAATTTTACTCAAATGTTCACCCCAACTGGGCGATGTGCAGAATCCATCTTTCCCTTGTGCCAGCTGAAAGTCAAGGCCACACTTTAAGGTCAAAAATTGACTTATAAAAATTTTAATATTGGGAAAATGAAAGGTTATTTGTAACTGTTTCGAACATGATTTGATAATAAATATTTATACTTTTACCTGTACAATTAGTCTTTTTTTCACCAGAGATAATTTCTTTTTATGTATTTGCGCCACTTAAGTTATTCCCTTAACCACCTTTCCAAGTTGTCTTCTGTCAAGGACATTGGTGGGGGTATGAATCGCATTTAGCGATAGTTCTAGTTTTGTCTGGGCCATTTCTCCTCAATTTTAAAAGTTTTTGACTTGAAAAAGATTATATTGAGAAGACGTGCAGTGCACAAAACTGGTACTCTGCACTTTTTATTTGTTGAGGTATTTGCTCTTTGTTAATTTTCATATTTCATTTTTGTCCAGGCCATTTCTCCTAGACTTTAAAAGCTTTTGACATGAAAGCTTCATAGGATGATAAATCTCATTGAGAAGGAGTGCAGTGGCACTCTGTATTTCATGATTTTTTAGTTATTGCCCCTTGTTGATTATAATACTTTATTTTTGTCTCAGCCATTTCACCTAAATTATAAAAGCTATGGACTTTAAACTTCATAGAATGATAGATTTTATTAAGGATAAAGAGCAGTACAGAAGAACCTGTACTCCCACGTACTTCATGATTTAAGAGTTATTGCCCTTTGTTAATTATTTTATACTTTATTTTTGTCCAGGCCAATTCTCCTACACAATAAAAGCTATTTAAGATAGATCAATCCTTCTGTAATATTGTTAAAATCAGTTCAAATGCCACTAAAGTTCAAGGTACATGCACATTATAAGAGTGGTGTTTATAAATAACTATATTTAAAAAGAAAATACCTGAGTGGCAGCTTAACTGTTCACAAGGCGACACATCCGACTCGCAGAGTTTAAGTTATTTGTGGAGCATGAAATTTTCGTAGTATTCTTGGTAAGGTCATTCCACGAAGATATGACATTTAATCCAAACTTACAATGTCTGTACTCTTATCAAGTACATACATGTGTCGGCACTTTTTCGGTTATGAACCTACATGTATACAGATAATCAAGTTAGTGTCAGATTTAATTCATAAATGGCTTAGGTATGTAATATTTAAAACAACGTGAAATAAAAATTGATTATATGTCTTCAGTTTGATGTCACTAAATGTTGGCGCCCTCAACCTTTTACTTGATGCACACATAACTGTCACATACTTATTTATATGAATATAAATTAACACGGCCTATGTGAAGTTGCGTGTAGTTACTGTCTAATATGGTAGACCGATTCAAGGTGTTTTTATACTTGCTGGCTGTCGTTTAAATTATGGGATGTTTACATCAACGAATAACAGTGGCAGTGTATCCCATGGAGCTGCATATCATGACACATAAATATGTTAATTACAGTCTTTTATCAGCATGAACTGTGTCATCTTTGAGTTACACCCACACACAAGATAAGCACTGTAAACTCTGTACATTCCATACAAGTTTCTTTTTTACAAGATAATGAAAATCTACCAATGGAGAACCCACAAAAATGCCCATTTTGATAAAGCTACGAAATGTCATGCCCACAAATATAATTGAATTCACAGTACTTGATGTTGTGTTTAGCAGTACCTTTTTATATGATTTTTGTTTAGCACTACCTCATTACATGTATCTGACATGTTTAGCACGACCTTTAAATTTGATTATTTTATATTATTTTTATATGCTAGCATTTTACATCAATTGTAAAAAAAAGCATCAATATGTGTAGGAATATGAAGAATCAGTGAGTCTTTGGCCATATGACCTTGTAATTTTTACTCATGATTGATTTAACGTCATGACTAACATTGAATGATATCACTTTATGCCACCATAATACATGATAAATCTTTTTACATGTCTATTGTACTTCCTTGTTTTTGTTTTTAGTTGTTTGAGTTATTGTCATCACATACTCACTGGCTTAGGCTTTGGTCAATCTTTTGTCCTTCTTCTCAAAAGCTATCAAAGCTTTTTAAATTATACCTAAAACACATGTTCACTATTAAAATGTGATGTCATCTTTAATATTTATTAACCCCTTACCTCATATAGACGTGTTTTAAAGACTTTTTGACCCCCCCCTTTTTTTGAGGCCTCAAGAAATGAAAAACTATTCAGACCCAAATTCTGTTTTTCGAGGCTAAAAATGGACTCAGATCGATCGTAAGGTAACGTGTATCCAGCACTGAAAAGCCTTTTACTCTATCTCAATCCATTAAGAAACTGCAGCATTTTGAAATCAGTTTTGATGGAAAAAAAGCAATGCAAAATAGTGATTTTTGGCAATTTTGAGACTTCCCCTATTGCCATGGTAACAGGAAATTTAAGATTGAGCATGATGTTACAGATGCTTTGGTCCAGTTAACATTTGTACTAAGTTTCATCAGTATTGAAGCATTTTTCATAGTTTCATAGCAGTTTGAACTTGTAACAGGAGGCTTTTCAATGAAAACGACCATTTTTCACAATATGCTCATGAGGTAAAGGGATAAGTGCTGTCACTTTATTCACTTATTAGCTCACCAGAACCGAAAGCTCAGGGTGAGCTATTAGTATCAAAGGGGGATGCTCCGGCGTCCGTCGTCATACGTAAACAATAGTCATCTTCTCTGAAACTACTGGGCAGATTTACTTCAAATTTGGTCTGTAGCATCCTTGTGACAGTCACACTTGAATTTGCTCATGTCATTTCAATTGGCCCCTTTTAGGGGTCAGCAGAGCTAAAGATAGAAAAAACCTCAAAACATCTTCTTCTACAAAACTAATGGATGGATGATCACCAAACTTTGTCTGTATCATTCTTGGGTAGTCTTTTATCAAGTTTGCTTATATTAATTTCATTGGCCCCTTTTAGGGGTCTCTAGGGCTAAAAATAGAAAAACCTTTAAGCATCTTCTTCTACAGAACTAATGGATGAATGATCACCAATTTTTGTCTGTAGCGTTCTCGGAGAGTCTTTTATCAAGTTTGCTCAAAAGAATTTGATTGGCCCTTTTAAGGGGCCGCTAAAGCTAAAGATAGAAAAAACCTTTAAACATCTATTTCTACAGAACTATTTAATGGATGATCACCAAACTATGTCTGTAGCATTCTTAGCTTGTCTTTTATCAAAAAATCTTTAAACATCTTCTCCTACAGAACTTATTGATGGATGGTCACCTAACTTTGTCTGTAGCATTCTTGGGTAGTGTTTTATCAAGTTTGTTCATATTAATTTGATTTGCCCCTTTTAGGGGTCGCTAAAGCTAAAAATAGAAATACCTTTAAATGTCTATTTCTACCGAACAAATTGATGGACGATCACCAAACTTTGTCTGTAGTATTCTTGGGTACTCTTTTATCAAGTTTGCTTATATTAATTTATTAAATTAGCCCCTTTTATTGGCCACTGAAGCTAAAAATAGAAAAAACCTTCCACCAATATTTTCTACTGAAATAATAGATAGATGATCACCAAACTTTGTAGCATTCTTCGGTAGTCTTTTATCAAGTTTGATCATATTAATTTGATTAGCCCCGTTTAAGCTTAAGCTTAAATGCCCCAGGTCATGACATTTCTTCAAATTATTGTTTAAACATATTCTATGCTCAAGTTTAATATCAGAATATATTGACATTCCAACATTGAAAAGCAGTTGTTTCTGGTGAGTGACTTAGGGCAATCATGGCCCTCTTGTCTTTTATTATTAAGCATTGAAAAAAGTGTGTGCTCTCCAGGGACAGGTCTTGTTAAATTTTTGACATTACATTTACATTATTTTAAGATCGTCTTTCCTTTCATCAATACGGCATGTAGCTTGAATGAAAAAATAAATGTGCAATTTTGAACATCGTCGGTAGTAAATTTAAGAATGCTTATCTTTATTTCTTAAAGTAAAAGATATATAATTACATAACATAATTTTTGCAGTACGAGACAATCAGAAAATCAATTGTGAAATGATGCCAAGTCAAGCAGGAACTTTACGGAACAGAGCTGAAATTTATTATAAACAGGACCGACTGGAGAATGCTTTAGAAGATGGGAAACATGTATTGACAATTGTTCGCAATTTGTACGTAGCTCCACATATAGAGATAACTCTTGCCATTGAAAGACTCGCATACTACCACTTTAAACTATGGAAGAAAAAACAGAAGGATTTAGATGGTAAATTGCGCTGATTTCCTCAGCATTCTTCCTCATCAAAATATAAACAATTTGCTCCATTTTTTGTCTGTTGATCAAATGTTCTTTTCCATTATAATTGATTCATTGTGCATAATTGATTAAGTATCAAAACTGTTTAAGAATTTGATGTTTCGAAATTTCCACATAACACCTTTCTAGAATAAAAATGTTTGAAAATAAGACAGTTGGGTGTTTAAATATCATTTTGTTGTGAGCCTTGAATTTATTTAGAATTGCATCTTAAATGTTTTTTTTAAAGTAATTTATATATATTTACACAAAAACATTTGTTTATAGGAGAAGGCCAGACTCATTTGGAGAAGGCCATGAAACTTTACGATGAGGTATTGATGCAAATTACAAATGGTGGATTACCTTTAGAATATAATGATACCAGGACATACAGAAATGTCAGAGGTAAAACTGTAGTAAACTGTATGGCCTTCTTAATTACTATGATTATCAGTGATGGTTGTTGCTACAGCCATCATGAATTTATCATATTGTCCAACACTATTTTGACACTGTTGGGCTCTTTTGACATCATAGGGTTATTTTGTCATCATATGATTATTATGCTCCTCGAAAAATCTCGGGGGAGCATATTGTCGTCGGGTTGTCCGTCTGTCCGTACGTACGAATGTATTAAAAGTATTTCACAGAAATGATCACCATATTAAGACGACGTGTCGCACGCAACATTTGGGTCGCTACCTTAAAGGTCAATGTCACAGCATGACCTTGCAGCAAAATCGTGTCCTGTCCATAACTTCGTAATTTTATGTCGGATTTAAGAACTATTTCACAAAAATGATCACCATATTGAGACGACAGTCGCGCACAACATTTTGGTCGCTACATTTAAGGTCAAGGTCACAGCATGACCTTGCAACAAAATCGTGTAAGGCCCATAACTTCGTTATTTGAAGTCGGATTTAACAACTTTTTCACAGAAATGATCACCATATTGAGACGACGTGTCGCACGTAACATTTGGTTCGCTACCTTGAAAGTCATGGTCAAAGCATGACCTTGCAGCAAAATCGTGTCCGGCCCATAACTTCGTTAATATAAGTCGGGTTTTAAACCTATTTCACAGAGATGATCACCAGATTGAAACGACGTGTCGCGCACAAAATTTGGATCACTACCTTGAAGTTCAAGGTCACAGCATGACCTTGCAGCAAAATCTTGTCCTGTCCATAACGTCGTTATTTGAAGTCGGATTTTTCAACTATTTCACAGAAATGATCACCATATTGAGACAATGTGTCAAGCACAACATTTGGGTTGTTTTTAGACTTTGAACTTAGTCTGTGACATAGCTCTGACACTACAAGAGGTATACCTTCCTATGTCCAAAACTTATTTCTGGGAGCATCAACCTTTTCAAATGGCTCTCGTTTTATTATTTTGACATTGTAGGCTTATTTTGTCATTGTAGGGCTTTTTGACACCATAGGATTATTTTCACATTTTATGGTTATTTTGACATTGTAGGGCTTTTTGACTTCGTAGGATTTTTTACATCAGGATTATTTTGGCATTGTAGGAATATTTTACATTGTAGGGTTATTTTGACATTGTTTGGCTTTTTTTATATCATACGGGAATTTTTACGTTGTAGGACTTTTTTAAATCAAATAAGTATTTTGACATTGTAGGATTATTTTGACATTGCTGTGATCTTTTGACATAGGATTTGATGGACTTGTAGGATTACTTTGACATTTGTAGGCTCTTTTGATATAAAAATTTTTATGGACTTGTATGATTATTTTGCCATCTCAGGATTGTTTTAAAGTGATGAATTATTTTGACATTGTAGAAATCATTTGACAATGTAGGGCTGTTTTGTCAATGTTTGGCTTTTTTTTTTTACATGAAATTTTATTATTTTTACATTGTATGATTATTTTAACAATTATAGGGTTATGTTGACAGTTTACGCCTCTTTTGACATTGTAGAATAATTTTGATATTGGTAAGATTATTTTGACACTTTTGGGTTCTTTTGACATCTTAGGGTTATTTAAGGGCTCTTTTGACATTATTTTGACAGCATTACATGTTATTTTCAGAAAATCATATGAAAGTGATGAGGCTACTGAGGTATGAAGGGCGATTATTTGAAGATCGACTTCGACAGTACCAGGTATTTGATTTTGTAGATGCTTTTTAGTAACATGAATTTTCTCCCTTGGCTTCCATTATCAGCCATTTCATAGATGAAGTACATTTGAGATTAAATGTAGTGTATCCGATACTCTTTCATAATTACCTATTTAGAATTCATTTTTGGTAAGGGAGGCTATTTCTTTCTTTCTTTTTTGTCAAATATACTTGTTTATAGTAAGTTATTTTCAGAGCAATTATTATCCCCCGCCGGTGGAATCTTGAGAAGGATATTGTTTTGGCGTTGTCCGTACGGGCTATTTAAGAGAAGTAGGAGGCCATGTAATTGTAAGCTGCCCGGTTAGCTCAATAGGTAGAGCGTTGGATTGTGAACCGGGCAACCCAGGTTCGATTCCCGGATGGCGCACGTCACTTTCGTTGTGATTAATCATGAAATCCTTTCTACGGTCATTCTCTCTGTACCTCTGCTGTGGCACGTACAGAAATTTCTGTTCCTTTCGAAAGTGAAGGCAACTAGTACTGGTAAACTGATTGACAGCCTGCCCAGGAACGATGCGGTGGTTGAACTGTGCTCTGGTGAATTCAATGTGGTTTATTCTCGTGATCCGGAGTGAAATCTACCACCACCACTACCACCAAAACATGTTATTGTAAACAGAACAAAAGAGTACAATATAGTTCATTCCATTAAAATAGAATAAGGGGACATTGCCCACTATTAAACACCTCTAACGGGACAGCAATGGTGCTATAGAGGGACAATAGGTAAATGTCCTTTCTCTTTGATGTCATTTGATGTCCGTAATGCTTTTATGTGGCTATTTTCTGTTGTGTGGCTAAAAAGAACAATAGAGAGAACAATAGGGTAAGCACATTTTTACTGTCTGGTTAGAACATCCGTCCTTCCGTCAGTCCGAATTTCATTTCCGCGCTAGTTCTCTGCAACTTCAGGCTGGAATTAAAGGAAACTTTATGGGAATCATCAATATCAAGAGGAGATGCGCATAACATCTGCTTGCTCCTGTCAGACCCTGCAAGTCAGAGTTATGGCCCTTGATTAGTTATGCAGTATGCATATAAAGCAATAATCGTTTCCCAACTACTTCTCTGGAACTACTGGCTGGAATTCAACGAAACTTTATAACACCGTTTATTGAAACCTTCAATACCAAAAGGAGATGCGCATATCATTGCCATGTTTCTACATGTTTAGTAATAATGATATTTGACAGGTTATATTATCCAATATAAATAGTTTAGTGATAAAGACTGCCAGACTCTATGTAATGGTTATATAGTGAAATTCTAAACTACACAAAATATTAGTGGTTCTGAAGTACTCATGCATTCTATTTTCAGGGTTTTGAAGAGGGAAAATACAATAAGAAAATTCACCATAATCTGCAGCATGATCTAGACTTTGTTCCTGAAGAATTTCTCAAAAAAGCCATTGCAGAGGGTGCAAAATTTGTACCCCACAAAATGGAAGATTCTGATGATATATCTAGTGAATCGGGCTGGAATAAAGCTAACCCTGTAAGTAGCATTAGCAGCAGCAATAGTACCTCTGAACGTGCACAAAGCCCAAATAGAATGATGGACATTGATCAAGTCGTTGCACTTAAAAGACAAGATAGTGGTTTAGAAGAAGCTGAGATGAGTGATGAAGAGTTAAAAGGCCCACAAAAAGAACTTAATGATATGGAAGTGGATAAAAGAGATGTGAAACCATCAATAGTAGATAATGATCATGATGCTGTTAGTAAAAGAAAAATGTTACGTAAAAGATCCTCTGTGCATGTTAGTAGTAAACGACAAGGTGTTGCTGAAGGAGGGGAAGTTAAAGAAGAGATAGGAATGATTAAATTACAAGATCCATCACAGGATAGTGTTATGTCAAAAACGGACAGGAAGATCTATGTTAGAGATGAAGAGATAGAAGATGGTAAGTTTGCTTGTAAATGTACACTAATTCTCTCAACAATCAATATTTTCTGTAATGTTATCAAGATTCATAGTTCTGATGCAGATTTCTCTCTGAACATAATAAAGGACATGCATTGCTGCTAATGGCAAAAATGAAACTCTCCAGCAAAATTCCCTCAATGGTTACACGGCTTTTTTGAAGAAAAAAATGAAACAAACAAATAGATTTTGAAGTTAAGTTCACCCTGCAAAGAAACAAATGCACTAGCTGTATACATACTTAAGCTACAATTATTCTACAACTGTCAATGATTTTCTCACTTAATTGGGAAGAGGTCATAGCCTCATGATTTTGGGAAAACTGTTTGTAAAATTTGGGAGGTAAAACGGAGTGCGTTTGTCGGATTTTTTTAGGGAACTGCATGGTTTTAAAGAACATTTCGATTGGGAAAACATCTTTATAGGCTTCAGTTATATCAGATGAAAAATCATTTTGTCTACGTATCTGCTGATTTTTTCAGCGGATTTATAATTTTACAATTTTTTAAAGTGCCTACAGTTGAATTAAAGAAAGACTGAAGTAAAAGATAACAAATAATATTATGTTTTCTGTTTTACTTGTAACAAGTACATGTCCATTCACGTATATTCCGTAAAAAGCAAGTGGTATTTTAAACAAATATATTACATTGTAATTATCTTATAAAAGGGTCAGCTGATTATACAGCAAACATTAATTGGTACCTTTTCTTATAAAGAATCCAACTTTTAGGCAAGTACATACTCTTATTTACAATAATTTCTGCATATTAATATGTAATTTGTTGGTAACAGAAAATGTTTATGTATAGATGGAATAGTTGCAATGAAATTATTACACACACATTACTTGCTTTCTGTGCTTTATTTTGTTCTCATTTTTTAAGATAATGAGCGTGGCGTGAAATCTATTGAAAGGAAGGAAACAGAGGCCAATAAGATAACGATCTCTCAAGGAAAGATTTTTATGGAGGTTAATAACAGGAAAAATTAATTATGGATTTCAAGGAAATTGTTTTTCTTAATTAATGATAGATCAGTATTAAATATATGATAGTGCTTGTGTTGTTTTAGTACAAGTTTCTGTAATGTTATGTCTTTTTATGACTTTTATCGAAAAAGAGACCAGATGTTATTTTTGTGTAATATATAGAAAATATTGTACGAGTGCAACTTCAATACTGAATTTATTGAACAATTTGAATAACATTTATTTGCGTGAGCCAATATTTCCATTCTTTTAATTTCGTTGATTGGTAACTTAATTTTAATGATTCTACATGAAATACTTTGAGTATTAATTTATATTAGTAAATTGTGTCTTCATAAATACCCAGGAACCATACTATATACTGTATTTTTCACAAAGTATATAAACTGTTAGTGTTTAAGTTGAAAAATAATATAAAAGTTCCTGTGTCCCCGGATAGACCCTTCTAATATTACCTCATTACATATTCATAGATTTCTCATAACGAGGCTAACAGGGCAAGCTCCAATATCTCTCCTATGTAAACATATTTATGAAATATATGGCCGTAACAGATTTAAAGATCTTGATATATACTTAAAATTACTACATACTTGTTGAAATGTTATATTTAACATTACAAAAATCTCTTCTGGAGATAAATGGTTTATTTTACGTTATATACAGTGAAGGATATACATGTATTCAAGACCTGAAAAGTGAATTAATGTTTATGATAATTCCAAGTGATTTCTAATATTCCGTGACACGTATAAATATCAGGTTAACTCTTTGCAACTTATACAGACATTATCTGTGCTATCAGTATTTTATTGCTTACCTTAACACATGTTGGTCAAGAATGTAAAGGCAATTAACTGATAATAGATGTAAACAGTTGGATGCTGAATTCTGTACCATACTCAAAATTCCCCTAAATTTAGCCATTGAAATTAAAAACAAAAACAAACAAACAATAAGTTTTATTCATTTTGTATTTGAAAACCAAAAATTCTGGATGACTGTCTAGAAACTGGTTAACTTTACAGACAGCCTTACCAAATCAAAATAACAATTTTGTTTAGACATGACACCACACCCCCGTCTTATACATTTCAATGGATTTTCAGTATCTTAACACATGATGTTGTTTACAGCATTGGAAAATACATTTCATGCTAAGTAACGGATGTAAAACTTATATATTATCAACTGTTTTAATTAATTACAGTATTAAATACTTAGTATATAACAAATCACAATCATTTAATTGCAAATATCAGTCAAATCTGAGGTATCATTAGCTTATTGCACTTGTCCAGTTGGTCCGACTTGATAATGTGGTCATATTGTTGAGCCCTGTACTAGCTGATATATAACAAATCATTTGGGTACACAGCACTTCCAGAAGATGCCTGGACTAACCATCCCCAGACATTCCATTTACTTCGGGGGGGGGGGGGGGGGGGGGAGGACTTAAAAAAAACCCCAACTTTTGCAAGAATTCTTTATGGGGGCAAGTCGGAGGGTATTCAGGACAAAAGACAGCATCTAGCTTCAGCACTTCTTTTAGCATTCCAAGAAAAATATTCACTCAACCCCAGAATAATATATAATCAATAAGAGGACAAAATACTAAATCCCGTTATTACCGTGTTGACATAAATTCCTGCAGCCTGTACCATATATGTAACCAAAAAGCACAATGTTAAAAACAAAGTAATTGTTAGAAATAAAGTAATGCTATGAAATTTTTTTAAAATTTTTTATTTGAATTTAAGACACAAAAGATTAAAACAAATGGTCCTTTTAAAATATGCTAAAAATACATTTTTGTCAGCTTGCAACATCTTATCTCTTTTTCTATCAGTCAAGCTTGTTTGTTTTGACTTTGCTTCATAATAAAAGTTCTTAATGTTTTTTGCTGATGTTTTAAACATTGAAAACTGTAATGAATATACATATGTTGAAAATCCAAAATAAACAAGATATGTATCTGTTATCATTTAAAAATTTGTTTGTTTTAAAAGTTCAATATCACTGTTTATTTTCTTCCTCAGTTTTCTGTAATTTTTCTTTGAACTGTTTGATAGTTTCTTTTTCATCTGTTCTGCAACTGCCATGATTAAAGGCGATTCAAATACCAGTTGTCAATTTGTGTTCATTACTGTTACCAATGGAATTCCTGAAAAATATATACGTTTTATTATGAAGTGGTAACAAGAATCATGACCTTTCTAGAATATATCAATTTATATTTTAATTGCACTTATAATGTTTTTTTTTTACTGTAGCTGAACTTTATTTATGTGTAAAATTGAAAATTAAGTCTTGTGATCTACCTTTCATCTGGCAAAAATCTTCTTTAGTGTTCATCTTACTGGTCTGTTCATTACTTCTCCAGTTGAACCAAGAGGGTTTTCCTATTCTCTTTTGACTATGGGGAATTTGGGGTCCATGATCTTTTAAACTTATTGTGTGAAAAAGCTTTTTAAAAAAAGCAATAAATGTCTTGTCATATATTTGGGTCTGAAAAAGGTAAACAAATAACTGTTTTTTTTTTAGTATAAAAAAGGGATTGATTTTTGATTAAATTTATAAGGGTCATATTTAAATGAATTTATGAACAAAAAATTTATTATTTTTAAAAATTAAATTTAAAAAAATTTTAAAAAGATGAGAAATTAGATTTAAATTAAAGTAATAGTAAACATCTAAAATGCTTTGTTTTTAAAAAAAAAAAGGGAAAAATGGGAAATTTTTCCCCGAAATGTTCTCGTTCATTCCATCTACTTGGGCTTATCAGGTCAGACATTACTTGTTTACATTCATGCACTGTTAGCCTCTCTCTGGTGATGGAATGTAAAGTATGCATATAATTTGAGAAAGGCCTATTAGATGGGACAAAACACAGATTTGCTGAGTTCCAGATAACATCCAATTATAGATCTCGAAATAATAATTTTATATGTCTGGTTGATGAAACATAGTTTGTGATCAGTATTATTGATTTTATTTTATCTCAGGTTATATTTCTGGTTGCTTTAGTGACAGAACTGATCACAACGAGGCCTTTATGCTATATGGCTCCGGATTATTTATTTTATAACTTCTTAAATCTTGTTAATTAAATGTATGAAAGTAATCACAATTTACATGATGTTCCAAAATTATATTATGAGCAAAATAGGGCTAATTTTACAATTTTTACACAATTTCTTTGATCAACTCATATCATTACATTTCATTTATATTGGATTAATGTGGCATAATATTTATTTTTATTTTTCCATCTTATATCCATGTATCAATGCTTTAATTTGTGCAAAGAAAGTTGTGCGGTAATCATAGGTTTTTAACATTGACTGGGATACTGATCGTTCCATTAAGTACTTTGTACTACTTACTCCACATTAAATGTTTAAAAACGTTATTTAAGGTAAATATATATATTTTTGTCAGCTTCTAGTCTCCTACATTCATCGCTTTTCTTTATTTTATCATTTCCATCATCAGATTATATATTTTTTCTCATTTTCAAATTATTTATGATTTCCTTTTACTTATCTGCTCACATTCTTTATCTGTGCAATAAATTTCCAGTTTAACGTTTCATGTATTTGTTATCAAACATAGATAGTATACTGAGAAACACAAACTAGTTACAACATATGTTAGATACTCAGCAAAGAAAGTTGATTTATTTTCCTGTCGAAGGCCGGTCACTTTTCAGTTTGACTTCCTGTAAAATGTACAGGGAAGAAGAGTTTTCGTTGGTCATTTAAAAATTACAAAAAGAAATCTGGGAATCTCATTGGCAATTCTAAAATAAAATGTACAGCTACAGGTCAGTTCTGGCCATTATGAAATAAACGTAAAGGATAGTTATAAGATAAAATATACATGATATTTCTTTAACTTTCTACTTGAAGTGCTTAGATATTTAAGTTCTGTTAAACAATACTTCTTGCATTCAGATTCCATTACATTTTTAATGAACATTTTTTTACTGAGTTTATTTTACACAAGATCTTTAAATTTTGTCTTAAATAACGAGAATATCAGAACTTATCAGGTACCCTAAGTTTATGATGTTGAATAAGTGTGTATAATATATTATATGGTTATTGATGTGTTCAATTGATATAATGTTTATATTTTTGCATATTAATCAAGTATTTATGAAAATAAAATTGCATTACCGACTGAGTACATGTTTGTGTTAAAAATGAGTTCACTTACCGAAACGCGACAGGTCTGTTGAGAAACACATGCATCTTAAAGTGTTCCACTTTTCAATATTAATAACCCTACAAGAAATATAATAGCCACTTCGTTCATGAGTCATAACAGTGGTTAGTCTCTTTTTCTTGCAGTTCCTTTAAGCAACTTCTTTTATTAACCAGAATCTATATTTGGTTGTTACAGTATGTTCTTACTTTGAATAGGGTTTGAAGTAACTTTGGTCAAAGGTGCTAATGCTAAGAAAATCATGTATACACTTTTGTTCACTATATTTTGCATTTAAATATATTGTTG